GGGGACATCACCAGGCTGCCAACGACACCCAGCAGCCAAACCCTCATCTGGTGTGGAACAGCCCCGGGGAGGTCCCTGGGATGCTGGGGGGGTTGGATGAGCATCTGGGTGCAGAGGATGCTTGAGAGCATCAGCGACACGGTGGCTCTCAGAAGAGCCAGCAGCCACCCCGCGGCAGCCGCGGCCCTGTTGCACCGCGCTCTGTGCCCGCACACACGTCCTGGCTCCGAGGCAGTGGCAGGCAGCAGATGGGAAGGGACTTGCTGCAGTCCCGCATCGCGGCAGTGACAGAGCCACCATGGGTGTGCGGGGTCACCTCCTGCTCTGAGCATCCCCGCTGGGCCACGGGCACGCTGCCGGCGGCTGCGCCTTCCCCCGGTGCCTTTCGGGAGGGGGTTTGCTCCCGTTCAGCACCCGCTTGGCTCCACGCGTGCCATGGGGCCGCCTGCTCCAGCGCCAGTTTCTGCTGGAGATGTGCGAACCCGTTTAGCATAGACTGGAGCCGTGAGCGTGCGGAGGTCGAGCTGGCACCTAGTGAGACAGTGAGGCAGGGGAGGGGGGAACAAGACTCGAGGCAGGCCCTGTGTGCCCCTGGCTCTCCCTGCGCTACCTGCAGCACTGCCTGAACAGAAGACTCATCAAGTGCCTGAGCAAACACGAGCTCGCTGCAGAGGTTGAGGCTCCCTCCGAGCAGAGATGCATGGGGAGGCTGGCAGAGCTGCCTTCCTGCAGGTCCATTCCATGGGAAGCTGCAGGGCTTGCACACGGGCTGTGATGCCGCTGGTGCTGGCAGCCCTGTGGTGGCAGAACCAGCCATAGGAGCAGGCGTGAGCTGCCTCCAGGGTGGTAGGGACAGGGGTGCAGGGACATTGTTGTGGCTGGCTCAGCACCCGGTCACTGCAAGCCAAGCGTGCAGGTGTGGGAGAAGGTGTCAGGGCTGCTGGTTTATGGCTCAGCCACTGTTGTCCTTGCTGCTAGGAGCAAGCATTGGGAAAGCACAAAACCTCGGAGCCGAAGGAGCTGGGGTTGGCAGGGATGCTGGGGCTGCCTGGGCCATCTCCACTCCTGCAGAGGCACGACTTCCCCACGTCTAAACCAGTATCCCACAGGCTGGTCAGACCCTGTATCGGACTGCCTTCACCATCACCATCATCATCAATGTGTGGCTGGTGAGACAGCAATGCAGGGATGGAGTGGGCCGGTACCCACACCAGCAGCTCAAGCCTGGACTTGGCAAGAGGGTTTCCTGGCATGGACCTGGGGAGCATGAGGACATTCACAGCTGGATGGGCTGGAGAGGCTCCCTCCGAGTCCCACTGCAGCTCTCAGACAGGCACCGGTCTGGGTGCAAAGGCACCAGCCCACAGAGAAGCTGCATGCCGCTAGATTAGTCCTTAAGGTGATTAATTGCCCTCACCATTAAACACCAGTGGCCATGAAGAGGTTTTCTACTTGCTCTGTTTGAGATGTTCATCTCTTTACCGTGCTCTGCACTGGCATAAATCAGAGCAGTTCCACTGACAGCTTTATACCAGGAGGGAATTAGTCTCCAGCCTTTCACATTTCAGAAAAGAGAAGTAGCAGAAGCCAGAAAAGCCAGTGCTGCTGTCCAGGGTCGGGGGAAGTGGTAGAGGGGACCAAGGCAGAACAGACCGATGCTTCAGATGGGCATGGTGGAGGGCAGGAAGCATCCTCCACACCACCAACAGCACCGGAGCTTCAACCCAGTTTTGATCCAACTGGAGTTTGGTGAGGTCCAGGCTCAAGCTGGGTTGGCACCAGGACCCCATACGGCAAGAAAGACCAGGACTTGCCCCATGTGCACTGGTCTGGATGACTCCTGGGTTAAAGACATCCCTGAAAAGCAGCACACAGTGAAGAAAAAGCCAGGAGGAGCCCACATGTTCCGTGGGATAAAGCTGCCTCCCTACAGGAACGTCCTTCTGGCTCTGACGTCCCCGTGTGCGAAGCAGAGCGTGTGTCCCGGGCAAAGGACACAAATGAACAGCCCAGGCAAGATCAGATTATGTGAAATCCTCTGCCCATTTGACCTCCTTCACGTCTCATCTTCTATTTATATGCCTTGAGGCTGCCAGGGACAGTGAGGGTTGTCCTTGGCCCACACTCACAGGGCTGGAGGGCTCAGCCGTGGGTCTGTGGGGTCAGGGTTGGCCACCGGACCCAGCTGACGCCCTTCAGAAAGGGAGGTTTGAAGGTTTCCTCCTAACCTGGCCATGGGGTCTGCTATCCCCATCTCACTAGAGCTGGAAAGCAAACTGACACCAACCCTGGGCTAACCTCCCATCAAGGGATAGGAAGGTCGAGGGGGACTCCTTGGGCTTCAGCACTTGGGTTTCCTCAGCAAGCAGTGATTTATCCTTTGGTTTCTGTGTTATTTAATGAGAAGGTGCTGGCCAGGGGCCAGGGCTGGTTATGGGTGCCTGCTCTGTTTGCCTTTCTCATGTTCTTCCCCTCCAGGCCCTTCCCCACTGCCTGCTCCGGATGCGTGTGTGGGTTTGGGAGGTAGAGATGCTGCTGACTCAGAGCCCAAGGTTTGGTCTTGGTGCTGGTCCAGCACAGGGGATGCAGGGACATTGAGCACCCAAAGGAGCCTGCTGGAAGAGCCAGGTCTGTGAGGGAATGTGTTCTCCATGGGGTGCTCTTGGAGAGGGATTGGGTCAGGGACTTGCTATGGCAAACCAAAGGAAGTGCTCTGGGGACGTGAAACATGGATTTGCCTCGACTGCTGCTTTCTCAGCCCCCTCACAAACAGGCTGGACATGAATCCCTGGGCCTCCAATGGGTTATTGTCCTAGGACAGGGAGCCAGCACCATGGAGAGAGAGAGCGTGTAGTGCCTGTGCTGATCAATCCCCCATGAGGACACCCTCATTGCACCCCACACACCGTGCTGCAAGGCAAGAACAGACTCTACAGCACCTCAGGCTGGAGAAAACAGAGCTGGTAGCTTGGCATCCATGGGATTTAACCTTCCAGCCTCATTCCCTTTGGGACACAGGACGTGGCCTCCTCGTTTCCACCGCCCAGGCAGGGCTCTGCATCTCTGGTGCTGCTGAAGCAATCAGTGCGCAGCAGGCATGCACAGACAAGTGTCAGCTGAATTCCTGCACGGCTTAAATACATCAGCAAGGCCACAAACACAGCTCCAAAGTGCTGCAGGCACAGCTGAGCTGATAAATAACCCCCAAAGCCACCGGCAAGTGAAATACACCCCTATCTCCAGGCTTAGCATCACTTTCCCCCTTCTATCCGTACAGCAGCTGAGCAGATCCACTCGTTACCTTGCTGTGCTTGAATCCAGTACCAGAAGGGTCAATTCTGTGCCACTTCTGCGGAGTCATTATCCTGTCGGTTATATAAATGTCTGGGCATGCACAAAAGGCAGTGCTGATACAGTGGCTCCGGCACCAACCCGCTCCAACACCTGCTTTTCAGCTGGAGAGAAAGCCGAGCACAAGAACATCTCGAGAGCTGTCACACAGAAGGCTGCTGGCTTTCAAGCTGAATGGAGGTCTAAATAGCTCTCACTTTGCCTTTGGAATCTCATTTCTAAATGCAATTAATACTGGCACATGCATAATGAGAGAGTGACGAGCGAATCCAGACTCCAGCAATAAAGAAGCCAGCCCCAAGTGCTATGTAAATATTACAAATCCTCACTAGGAGCTGACCCGGGGAAGAAAGCTTTCTGATGATTAAACCCAAGTGACAATACGACTGGATTCCTACATCTGTCACAATACTACCTGCTGATACATAATGAGCTACGCGAAAAGAACCAGCTCTTGCTGCTCTTCAGTGCACAGAAAATGTCTATTTGTAGAATGTAATTAATCTCTTCTTCAAACTCAGGAACCTTAGTGTCCTTGGTAACAACATCCCAGTGACTCAGAGTGGCTCTGGCTTCTCCTTCTGATTTCTGAGCAAGTTATTGAGAGTGACCCCCAATTCGAGCATGTGCTTCAGCAGTGGGAAAGCCAGCTGGGTATCTGGAGGTGGGGATGGGGTTTACCACCTCTCTGCTCCCTGCAGGGCTCCTTCTGCAGCTTAAGGAGGTTCCTGGACTTGTTTCAGCCACATTCCTTTGGATGAGATGAGCTCTGTCCCAAGACCTGGTCGCCAACCAGGGCAGCACAATTCCCTTTTACCATCAGGTGTAACAGGGCAGAGAACAACACTGAAAGCAGAGCAAGGGCAAGAACCACAGCGTGAAGCTGCTCCCTCTTTCCCCTGGTTTCCATGGGCAGCAAGTACTAGGCAATTATGCTCTGCATGTGTGTCCATGCACACACACATGTCACTGCTCCCCAGAGATGGCTTTTGAGCCTAATGGCTCATTTCAGCCAATTTTGCCTGGGGATAGAGGTTCAAAGACATCCAGTCCCTACCTGGTAGCAAAGATGCAAAGCCATGAGCGCTGACGTGGCAGAGGGATGCAGGGAAGCGATGCGTCGCCCTTTTCTCCTGCCACCCCACTAGGCCTGGCCGAGACTGGTGCTGCAAAGGCAAAGCTGGGCCACTCCAAAGCACCCAGGGGGCATCTCTGCTTTCTATGAATTTCAGTGGGGAGCTACCACTGCTGGATGTTGCTCACTGACCCAGTTCCAAAGCCCAGGGGAAGGCTGGGCTGTGATAAAGGGACAGCTGGTTGGAGAGAGGGTGATGGAGGACTTGCATGATTTATTTATTTCCTGGCAAAAATAACAACAACAACAACAGAGAAGAATTGTTGGATAAAATCAGCATATTCCAGGCTAAAATGTGCTGCAGCAATTCCTTGTGGGATTTGAGCTGCGGTGCCTGCTCTCCCTGCAGCTCCAGGCTGCTTTGCAGAGCCAGGGGGACATGGGGAAAAGGAGGTTTCTGTCATTACCTCCTTGATTCAAAGCTGCCTTTTCTTGCAGCAAGTCACCACTTTCATTGAGACAGAGCTGCAGTTGGCACCACTGCCCACAGCTCACCCATCTCCTCTGTCCCCAGGTATCCCGAGGGAGAAGAAGAGACCAGGAGAGACGCTGGCTCCGACCCTCGCACCACGTAACACTGCTCCGGAGTCAAAGCCAGGTGGGATGCAGCAGTTACCTGGGATAGAGGCAGCTCTGGGGGAACTGTGCTAGCTTTGGGGTGCAAAGCCTCATCTTTGCCTTTCTGCCCTGCTCACAGACGCCTCAGGCATTTTAATGATGATTCCTTCCTGTTTCACCCAGGAGTTATAGGTCTCTGCCTACCAGTGAGGCTGTGAAGGCTCTGGAAAACTGGCTCACTCTGGGGGGAAGGAATTAGAGCCTGGAACTCAGATTGGAAGGGAAAAGCCCATTTTTCCATCACTTTCAGTAGCAGCTCAGGTACCAAGTGAGGGTACATCCAGCCCCTCCTCTGTGCCTGCCTGGATGCCAGGCGCATCTCGCAGGGACAGAAAAGGCAGCAGAGCCAGTGGTGGTCCAGCCAAGGTGGGATGGGATGTGTGACATGGGGGCTTGGCACTGATGTGGCTTTGTGTCCTGCACAGTGACTCCAGGGAGGGAGGCCCAGCTCCTGCCTGTCCATCTGTGGCTCCCAGCACAGGTAGGGCAGCTCACACCTCTGGAGTTGAGGGGACACTGGCCTGGGCTGGGACACGTGTGTGGGGTTCGGGGGGGAACTGAAGCTGTCTTTCCTCATCCCCTTCAGCCTACAAGGAACTGCTGAATGCCTATGGGGAGCTCAGGGACTCACCTTGCTCTTCCTTCCCTTCTGCAGATCCTCCAAGGATCATAATCTTATCATCCCTGCTCTCTGCAAACAATCAATCATAGAATCCTCATACAATGTCAGACTGGTTTGGGTTGAAGGGACCTTAAAGCTCCTACAGCTCCAACCCCTGCCACGGGCAGGGACCCCTTCCACTGGAGCAGCTTGCTCCAAGCCCCTGTGTCCAACCTGGCCTTGAGCACTGCCAGGGATGGGGCAGCCACAGCTTCTCTGGGCACCCTGTGCCAGCGCCTCAGCACCCTCACAGGGAAGAATCCTTTCCACAAAGAATTAACCATGACTCCTTCTCCCCCTGCAGCTCCCCTGCACCCGGCACATCCCAGCCTTGGCACACGCCTGGCAGCACAACCCATGCCAACACCTCCCATCTCCCCTCCACAGCTCAGCCATCAGCCCTACAGCTGCCGTCTCAACTGATGGGGAGCCCTCAGCCCCACAGCGATGCCCTCCAAGAGCCGTGAAGCAGCCTGCAGGCATGGGGTGACCCCTGGCGCTGGGCTCTGCACCCCCTCAGCAGCTTCCCCGTCTCTATAAATACCTCCATCGAGATGAGTTTGCAGACGCAGCTTGCTGTAGATGACAGCATTAGAGGCACATCTGTTTCTCCTAAACAGCAGTCTCGTGCTGGGTTTATTTGGTCCATTTGTGGCGGGGAAGAGTCGCTTTCGACATTCAGCGATGTCTCATGTCTGGGGGAAGTGAAGGGCTGGGGGGGGGAGATGTATTTTTGGCTCTATTTAGCCACAAAAATTTGGGTTTAGAATAAAGATAAATATTCCTGTTTTCTGTTTGCTGCCAAACCCAGGCAGATGATTTCTTGTGCGAGCCTTCACTTGTTGGAGAGCTCCGTGGCCTGTTGGAACAATAAATGCTCTGATGGAGAAAGTTGATGAGCGCGCATCCATCGGTCACTGCAAAGAGCAGCTTCCACCTAACCAAAACAGCAGTCCCCAAAGCTTTTGGCAATATACAAGTCAAAAGGAGAGCGGTCTTTGGTGAGTGACGTAGTCACATAGCATGATCCCCCCTCCAGGCATCGTTGCTCTGGCCTCACCACGGCTGGCAGGAGGTTTCAGTGCTAAATATACCCCCTTTGCACCCAAACCAGGCCGTTGGCTCCTTTCTGGCAGCCACCAGCAGGACACAGCAATGGGGGAAGTAGACAGGGAAGATGCCTGGGATGTGGCTCCTGCCTGGGCTGCTCCTGGCTGATGGCAGCACCTTCTCCCCATCCTGTAGGGTCACCTCCTCATCACCAAGTTAAGGCCAGGCAAGAGCTCCATGTGGCTTGGTTCTCCACAGTGAGAACTGCACAAATGCCTATAGAGGTTTCCTAATAGATTCCCTCCCCCCCTGAAGCTTTTTGATTAAACCTTTCCAATCTCAACTCATGGCAAAGGAAATATTATGATTAGGAAGAATAAAACTGCTGGTTTACCCAGAGCTGCTTCATTTTATAGCAGATAAAAGGCAAGATGGAGAGTCAATAATGCCAGGAAGCGGGGGCCAGGGGATGAGCACAACGTACGTGCTGAAGGCAGCACTGAAGAGATTGGAGGCTGGAAAGACAAAAGCTTCTCAGGATTGAAGCCTCAAAAGCAGAATCAGCTCCTCCGATGATATAAATCACCTGAGCTCCCCTGACACACTGAGATTGCTATAGCACAGCTTTTATGTATTGATTTAAGGGAAAACAAAGGTCAGGGGCTTAGCTGCAGAGAGGCTGTTCAGCTCTGGGTGGGCAGTGATGAGCAACAAGGAGGATCTGCAAGGGATGGAGAGGAGCCCCAGGGAAGATGCATACATGCTGGAGCTACGTTAGCCCCGAAGACCAGGAGAGAACCTGGTGCTACCCACTGAGGGTAACTGAGTGCAGCCCAGACCTGCGGGGTTAGCACAGGCACAGTCACCCTGGGCTTTGGGAACATCCAGAGCCAAGTCCGGAGCTCACCATCACTTAACTCCGACCTTTCCCTCCATCTGGCCTAACCCACAAAGAAAAATCCCAGAAAGGCCAAAGCGGGGCCAGCTGGGAATGCTGCCTGCAAATGTCACGGCGCTGCCGGGAACGGGGTGACTGCACGGCAAACCTGGGTGTGCAAACACCGCTTGCTAAATCCACTGCTCCGAGACGGGCTGGGGTTGGGGGATAAAGGTTTCCTGAGCCATGGAAAGGGCAGCTCCCCGCCTGGGGACCTCGGGAGGCTGGCTTGCGGGAGGAATGCTCTTTATTTACTCAATGAGCAGCAGCTTAGCTCAGAGCGAGCTGCCTGCAGCAAGCGGCTGCGGCGAGGTGTTTGCTGTCTGTGCAGAGATGTGCGATGGTCCTGAAGGCTCTTGGTGGGTGGGAGTGGGAACCCGTTGAACCCTCATTAACTGCATCCTCTCTGCTGGCCACAACCACGCTCTGCTCTACCAGAAACACAGAATTGATGGTGAGAGCCCCCGTGGTGTCATCGGGGGTCATCCAGGGGATGGGATGATGATGATGGTCTTCTCGGGGCCACGAGGCTGAAGGACGTGGTCCCACCATTGTGGTCCTGCTGCGGAGATGCTCTTTGTTTGAGGAGGAAGGAAGGATTGTGACATCTCTGCTCCCCCTTTTCTCTTTGTCCCCATTAAAATACACTTTGGGATAAACCAAAAGGGAAATGAACGACGAGGGGGCTGCACTCAAAGGGTGGTGGAGGTGGTGTGGGACCAGCAGCCCCATGCAGCCTGGAGGAGGGGGTGAAGCTGGGGCCTTGCTGGGCTCAGCTCCCTGGGGTTTATCTCACTGTCTGTTTTCATCATTTCTCTGTGAGAAGGGAAAGGGACCACACAGGAGCAGAAAGCCCTGGAAATCTGTGAAGGAGAACGTTCCCAGCACCCCTCCCTGCATCATCGCCCCTCTATGCAGTTGGCTATGGAGGACATATAGCTCTGTGTAGGCTCCAGCATGGTGATTAAATTCCTGTTTACAGCCAGCAAACACGCTTTCCCAGCTCTGACCCTCCTGCCTCAGTTGCACATGTGGTCGCTTTGATGGACCAAGTGGACCAGGACTTGGATAACCCCATCTTGACCAGCCTGTCTGTTCCATCGCTCCATATCAGACACCACCATCGCTCCTCTGCTCGTGCTCCAGAGACTTCCTAAAGGCTGCTTGTGCCCTAGAACTTTTCCAAAAGGAAGAAAAATCAACCTAAAAACTCCAGTAGAAGCAGGGGGAGGAAATTGCTTCAAGTTTCTTAACTATCTCATAGAACAAAAATGCTTCTTAAGGCTGCTGAAGGAAAGAGGGGGTCAAATGTCCCTCATTAGCACTGATTTACTGAGAGGGCTGGGAAGTGGAAGAGGGAGAGAGTCCAGCTGCCTGTCCCAGTGCACAAGGAGCCTGGTTTGGGATCCAGACTGGGAGGGGAGGGCCAGTTCCCCCCAGCATGAGATTGGGGTGGCAGCTTTACTATGGCTTCACCAGCAAGCAGGTACAGTGGGGTGCGGGCTGCACCCCGAGGCAGAGCAGACAGACCTGCACTAACACAGCAGAGCTCTCAGCTTGGAGCAGCAGTCTGGAAACTTGGTGGCTTTCAGAAGGAAAGAGCAGAAGTTGAGCCCATTCAACCCAATTAAAACAGCCGAGGAAGCACAGAGAGGCAGGATGCAATTACCCGCACTGGAATCCCAGTTCAGAACAGGAGGCAGAGCTCTCCGGATCAAATTAATCCCTAGTGTAACTCTGCTGAAGTTACACCAGGGCTATAATTGGCCTGAAACATTTTAACTATCTCATTTAATGTTATTCATGCTCTGCTGGAGATGAGAATGTTTATCCTAAATGAGAGACTTTAATGCTCTGTAGCAATAATAGAGTGTGAGGCTTATGCGGTTTCTCATTTACAAAGATGCTGGGGAGGCCAGATTGTCATGGAAGATGCAGCAGAGACTCCCCAGATCTTTAACCATTTCCATGGCCCTGTTGTCCTTCCACCCTCCCCATGCCCAGGCTCTTTTCCATCTCCTGGAGATGGTGGGGGCTTCCAGCCCAGACCCAGCCAGGGGCAGAAGCAGGGGGAGATGTAAAATGATCACAGAGTGGTTTGGAAGGGACCTTAAAGCTCACTCAGTCCCAATCCCCTGCCACAGGCAGGGACACCTTCCACTAGAGCAGGTGAAGCAGGAATGGAAGGCACTGAGAGAGCCTTTTCAAGACTAAAGCCCCTATAAATCAGGGCTGTTTCCCAACAACAGACTTGCCTCCCCAGTGGTGCTGAAAGAGGCGATTACCATTGATGTGAGCTGGCTCCGTGGCCTTTCTCCAAGTCACCCCAGGGAAGCTCCTGCACAGGGAGCAGGGGCAGTGCTGCAGGTAGCTCAGGAAGCTCACAGAGCACCACATCCCTGCTGCCAGTCAGACACCCCCCATGGGCAGTGTTTGCAGCTGCCAGCCCTGGGTTATCCACCCCTCTCAGAGGATGATCCCAAACCCAGTGTCCTTTGAGCTGCAGCCTCATAGTGAGCTTGTCTCCATTCTCCACAGTGGGAGCAGCAGGACGCTGTTACCCTCCATTGGGAACGTGTCTCAGGACCCACGATCCATCCGCTCCCCTTCCCGCAGCGATGCCATCAGCCACCCAAGCACGTACCCTGCTGCCTGGAAAAGCACAGCCCGTGGGTTCCATTCCTCCTGCCCAGCTGCCCTCTGGCTGCTGGAGCTGCCAGGGATGCAGTGTGGCCCCGAGCCTCTGCTCTGTGCCCTGCATCCCCCCGAGCCAGCCCTGGCAGGTACCGCTCACTGCAGGCTCTGCAGCGGCATCGCCCGGCTTTTGGAGGCTTGTGATGATCTGCCATTAAATCACACTTCCACTCCCTAGGCTGTTTTTAAGACCGAGCCCCGGTCTTTCCCTCTGCTCTCTTGCCAGTGGAAACCGCAGGAAAGGCAGATCTGCTTGTTCCAAAGCAATTTGAAATGCCCTGTAGCTTAGCAGAGGCTCGAGCATTACAATTCATTCTGGCTCCTCTCTGTTCCTCAGAGGATATTAGATCCTCCTCTTGATATTTCCTCACTCTTTGTAGATGTTACCCTAGTTTTCATTTCCAGGGCTTCCAGACTGTTTTTAACAATGCTGAGCTTTCAAGTTGCTTCCTTCCAACTTTCTCCAGCCATGCTTTCCCAGAGCCCGAGCAGCTTTGATTATTCCCAGATGTTGTTAGGTTTTAACCCCACACTAGTATTGTGTAACAGCTCGGAAAGAAGACTTGTAGCAGGCATCTTGGGTTCTCCTGTTCACCAAATGCCTTCCTGAGCAGAACAAAGGCGATGCCGTTAGCACCAGGTTATCTTGCTGTGCTTGAAATCCTCTTGCTGATAAAGATAACCCTCTGAAAGCACGGGTCATT